TTTTAACGCATGCAATTCTTCTTTGATTGCACATTTCCAATCATCATCTTGGATTGCCTCACTGTAGTTTTGTGGCAAATCAGACATTAGACACCCTGCTGATAATGCACTCATTAAATTTGCTTGAAATTCTGTATTTAACTCATAGTCTTGAAGACGCTTTGGTATTTGTCTCGTCCTTGTGCTTCTCCTTGTTACTTCATCTTTATCAGCACCCTGTATAAAATCTACTTCGTTCTCTTCGCTTTTTTCATTGTCATATTTTTCTCTTTCTACATTTTTATATTCTTCATTGTCATATTTTTCTCCTTCTACATTTTTATATTCTTCATTTTCTTCATTGTCATATTCTTCTATTTCTTTATTTTCTACTGTATTTTTAGATTCATATATAATTTCTTCCCTTTGTTGTTCTTTTGACTTGTTTTCTGAATTCATATTTTTATATTTCATAACTGACTCATTAAATCTAACATCCCTTGATTTTATAATTTTCTTTTCTTCATGCACCCATAGTCTGTAGCCTCCTCCACAATATCCAACCATTATAGCCTCTTTTGCTTTTGGATCCAACTTGTTTCTTTTCGGTAACACAGTATACCATACCTGACATCCAAATACTCTAAGTTTGCTTAAGTCATTTCTTCCATGCCAAATATCAGATGGTGTTACACCTCTTGGTAGTACTGTAGTAGGGGTTCGGTTCAGTTCATATGCTGAACATTTTAGGGCTTCTCCCCATAAATATTTTGGTATTCCTGATTCAATTATCTTTATTCTGACCATATTTAATAATGTCCTATTCATTCTCTCTGCTTTACCGTTACTTTGTGGTGTATATGGCAAAGAATATTGCAATAAAATACCTTCTTGCTTACAAAATTCTTTAAATTTGTTTGAAGTAAATTCACCCCCATTATCCAGTCTGAATGCTTTTACTTTAACCTCATGTTGTCTCTCAAATTCTTTAATATACTGTATTAAATTTTTATCGGCTTCATCTTTTGTTTTCAGTATTTTTACAACCAAAAAATGTGAATAATCATCAATTATTGTTTGGAAATATTTACCCCCATCAATTGTGCTTGGATTCAGTGGTCCGCATACGTCACTATGAACCAGTGCTCCACAAACTTTTGTAGATTTCTCATTTCTTTTAAAAGAATTTCTTGTAGCCTTCCCTTCAACGCATTTTTCACAAATTTTGTTAGAAATTGGTAATCCCAACTGTTTTAGATTTTCTTTACTTGCATGTCCTAACCTTTTATGCCATATATTTTCTTCTTGAGCTGTCATATTACACGATTCATCTTGCTTAATTATTTTATCCAAAGTTAATAAATAAAGTCCGCTTTTATTTTCAAAATTTAGTATAAAATTTCTTCCTTCTAATGATGTATTATGTTTTTCTACAACGATCCTATGACCTCTTGATGTCAATTTTGAAGCTGATAATAAATTGTATTTCATCTTTGGTACTATAAACGCTTTAAAGGATACATTTAGCCCTTGGCATTTTGTGTTTAAAATACCTATTTTGTTAGTTTTTAGAACATCACCATTTGCTATATGAATTTTTAAATGATCTGGCAGTGTCTTTACATCTTTCATATATTTTTCTAGACCCTCTTGAACAAAATGATTGCTTGCTCCTGAATCCAAAATAAATACTACATTATCATCACCATCACATACATTTGCTGCATATAATTGTATTTCTCCTTCTGCACTATTTGCTTGTTGTTTTTTAATCTCTGTATTCCTTATTTCTTTATTATAACCTCTGTAACTCCCTCTATAACTTTGACCTCGACCTCTAAAATTTCCTCTAAACTTTCCTCTTGTACTGTTTCTTTTTGGACAATCTGCTTTATAGTGTTGCATGCTTCCACATGTGTAGCATCCTTTTTGTGTAAATACATTGAAACTTGATTCACTGTCTTCAGTTTTACCTTCAGTCATGGACTTTACTTTTATTTCTTCGTCTAACAATCTGGCTTTAACAAAGTCCATTTTTACATCAGAAACTGTTTCTAAGGCTGTTACTACTGTATCAAACTTTATTGGTAATGATAACAGAAGGTGACACACTTTATCGCTTTCGTTTAAATCTGAACCTTGTTCTTTTAGCTCTCTTATTATCGTGTCAAATTTAAAAAAATGATCCTCCAACTTTTCATTTGCATCTGTTTTCAAATATAACAGTTTTCTCCATAGCGAAAGTTTTGTAAAAGAACTTGATCTTACAAAAACGTTTTTTAATGCTAAGATTTGTTCTTTGGCATTTTTGCAGTCTTTTACTATGTCTAAATGTTTATCTGACACACCTGCTACAATAATTGATTGTGCCTTTGCATCCTTCTTCTTCCAATTATCTTTTTCTTGTTGAGTTTCTTCTAGATTGGGTGGTTCTTGGGTTACAGTGTCATCACAATTTTCCCGTTTTAATATTGTCGTTATTCGGTAGTTCCAATTATTAAAATTACTTGCCTCCAAGATTGGTACAACAAAATTAGAGTTTGACATTTTTGACTGATGTCTTGAAAAAAATATTTTCCAGAAATTCACACCTTTTACAAACTGACTTCGGCCGTTTTACTTTTACACGCACTTTTCACGTATATCTGGGCCCATAACCTGATAAAGTATATGGTTTTAACAATATATCTTTATATAATTAATTAAAACACATTCGTTTAAATAATTCTGTCAGTTCAACTTCTAATTATTTATTGACTACAACATTGTCATTGTTTTACATTGCCAACTAATATTAACTATCATACTACATACAACTAGTGCAGATTGTTACATTCAACAAAAGTATTACGTATAGGTAACGTCTCCAAGGGTAGGTACAGTCTTGCGAAAAAATTATGAATCACTTAGCTACAATCTCGTATACTTTTACGGTGCGTATAATCTAAAATTTTTTAACAATATTGTACCACGCGTCGTACGACAACTACCTTAAATTTGGCAACATGTGGTTTTTGAGGTCGCTGATTACAAGGAAAGGGCTCTATTTTTTAAGTTTTTATTAAATTTTCTAAATTTTAAAATGATCCCAATTTCCAAAATATTCAAAATCTACAAAAAAATATTAAATTTAAAATTTGCACAGTATAGGAATCCTGTAGGATACATTTTAAAAATTGTAGGATAAATTGGCACTTTTTGCCCACCCGAAGTTACGAAGGTATGTTTGTTTTTTGTGTGTATGTAGATGTATTTTACGTCTGTCCGAGAAAATTTGTGCTTTTCTTTGATAAAGACCTTTTATCCAAGTAATAAATGTGAATTATAATCTTTTTAAATTTTATTATTTTACTAAAAATTTGGAAAACCGATTTGGAAATTAAAAAAAAAGTGTGCACTGTACACGGTGTACCTGAACGAAGTCACATAAAAATGACGCCAAAAACTGATTGAAGTTTCTTGTTCGGGACCCTTTGGTGAATTAAAAATGATATTTACCAAAATCCTAGCTGATCCTCTTTTCGAAATTTTTTGAAAATTTATGATTTTTTTTTAAATTTTTGTTTATTTCAAATTCTACCTTTGACAGAGTACACATTTGTACACCGATTTTTATAAAATTAGAGTATATTATTAGGAAACTTAAAGAATACTTTTTAATTCTGTTCACATAATTTGATATATACAGGGTGAGCCAAAAATCGCTTATTTTTAATAAAGCAAAAGCGTAAATTCATGATTTTGGCATAACACGCTTAAAATATATATACCCACCCATGTTTTTTTTAGATATTTTTATGTTTATCAGGCTACAAAATGGGATTCTTATCAAGATTTTATAAGAAAAATTGATTTTGAATATAATTAAATAAAATAAATTTTTTTGGAGATAAATCTGTTTTGTGCATTATGCTTTTTACTATATAAAAACGTGATTTTTGGCTAACCCTGTATAAATCTAATGATGTGCTCAGTATGAAAACAGTATTCTCCAAGTCTCGTTAACAATATACTCCAATATTATAAAAATCGGTGTACAAATGTGTACTCTGTCAAAGGTAAGATAAACAAAAATTAAAAAAAAATTAAGAATTTTCAAAAAATTTCGAAAAAAGGAGCAGCTAGGATTTTGGTAAATATCATTTTAAAGTTACCAAAGGGGTCCCGAACAAGAAACTGCAATCAATAAAAATTGGTGTTCAAATGTGTACTCTGGCAAAGGTAGACTTTGCGATAAACAAATAATTAAAAAAAAATGATTTTTTAACAAATTTAAAGAAAAGCAGTTGGAATTTTGGTAAATATCGTTTTTAAATCTCCAAAGAGTGCCGATCAAAAAACTTTAACCAGTTTTTCGTTCAAAATTGAAAACTTCTAAAAAGCCTAAATTAAACAACAATTTAAATATTCTCTAAGCGTTATTTTATTTAATTTTATTAAAAATCTATTTTTTTAATAAAAGGTTAATAAGAATGCCATTTTGTAACCTAATAAACGTAGAAATATCTAAAAAAAAATGGGGATACATCTGTTTTGCGTGTTATGCCAAATTCATGAATTTACGCTTTTGCTTTATTAAAAATAAGCGATTTTTGGCTCACCCTGTATATATCAAATTATGTGAACAGTATTAAAAAGTATTTTTTAAGTCTCCTCAATAATATACTCTAATTTTATAAAAATCGGTGTACAAATGTGTACTCTGTCAAAGGTAGACTTTGAAATAAACAAAAATTTAAAAAAAAAATCATAAATTTTCAAAAAATTTCGAAAAGAGGATCAGCTAGGATTTTGGTAAATATCATTTTTAATTCACCAAAGGGTCCCGAACAAGAAACTGCAATCAGTTTTTGGCGTCATTTTTATGTGACTTAAACTTCGTTCAGGCACACCGTGTGTACCTATATCGTAATAATTTATCACCTTAACAAAATAAAACAAAAAAATACATCATAAAAACATGTATTTAATAAATAAACAACCATAAATACTCTTTGTAAATAACAATTTTAAAAATGACACTATCTGTACACCATACTGTGTAGCCTGTCTCTTTCATTTTCAAGTGTGGCAATTTTAATTTTTAAATGAAGATTTTCTTTCTCTAAAAAAGCACATCTAATAGCGATCTCGTCTTCCTTGGCTTTCCTCGCGTCTCTTGATTTTTTTGCAGCTTCGTTGTTCCTTTTCCTTTTTTCGAGATAATGTGGATCACTTACGCTACTAGATGGGGATCTTTTTATATTTTTGTTTGAGTTGGTGGTTTTGTTTTTCTGCAGTATTTTCTCCCGAAATTCTGCGTACGCATCCTCAGAGTTTTTTGTTAGTATCGTTTCTGTTGGAAGAATCATGGACATGGATCTTGGATCGTTGGAGTACATTTTAAACGGTCTTGCAGGTGTGTCTTGGTTATCAGAGTCTGATTGCGATTTTGGGCTTACAGAAGATGTCACTGATGATGCATCGCAGCAATATGAAAAAGGTTGAGGTCTGAACATAACGTTATCCATAACTGGAGGAAGACACAATGGGTGAAATGGTAGATATCCTGCATGGGTTGTAAGTAAAGATGTTATGGCATATGGAGAAGTATTTATTTTATCCATCTAAAAAATAAAATATTATTATCATATCTGTTTTATTGTGAATGTAATATATTATCTGTAGATATTACATTGATTTAAGGGTAGACTTTATTTTATTTATAAAACTCACCGTATTTAAAAGAAGTAATCCAAATATTTGTTACACAATGTTATTAAAAACACAAACTGATTTGAACTGAGGATTAATGCAAAAATATTCTTCTTTTAATATTTTGCAATATACCTGTTCCGTCATCCCTACTCTTCGGGGCTAAATATTGCTTTAATTAAAATATTACGCAATTTGCATATTTTTCAAAGTACCGCAATAAAATCGACCACTAAAAAGTACGTGTGAAAAATAGAAAGAAGGTTGCACAATACCTGAAGATTATTGGGGGAGGTCTGTTTATAACACCTTTATGACCGTTTGTTATCAAGTTTGGCAAAGTAAAGTAAAAAATGGATAAATATAAAATTTTGGCTAATAAACTGTTGTTTCACATAAAAACAATTTTTTCTATTATTTTTAAATAAACTGAAAAATATTGCTTCTATGTATATTTTTTAAATTTAGAAAATATTTTCAGTTCAAAAATCGTATTTTTTGTATTTAGTGAAGAACTTTGTTAAAAAGTTTCATTTAGTCTGTAGTTTTTTAAAGTCCTTAAAATTTTTTGTTATATATTAGCATTTATGCTTTGATAATTAAATTTAAAATCATTCTACAAAAAAATCACAATTTTTTAGATGTGTCTCTTTTTTGTATTGACGTGTTCGTTGCCCAAGAGTCTTCTTTGAATAAAGATTATTATTATTATTATTATTATCGACCTTATGCTATTTTTGACATCATATTAATAAGTTATTATATAACCTTAAATATCCCAAGTTAACAAATAAGTAAGTATACAAAAATAGCGATTCTATAGAATTACTAAATACTTAATTAAAAAGTAATATTTTATTGTATTTTTATATATATTTTATCTAACAAAGTGTACATTATATGCCACGAACTAATAAGTAAAATATTATTTAGATCAAAAAACAAACGGAATATTTGAATAAAATGTTTCCAGGATGACTTAATTTATGGTAATTTAAAATTACCATGATAAAAATAAATTATAAAAAAAAATATTTGTTGGTACCTATATATTAATATAATTTTATGTATTAATTAGGCCAGTTTTAAACGTATATACTAAAGTATTATAAAATATATTTAAAAAATGTTATGTAAAAATATTTTTATATATACTTATTTTTTGTGCGCCAATGAAGTTATATTGGGGAAGTTGGTATAACGGAACGAAATAGGCAGTATAATATGCAAAGTAGTCTGAAAAATTGCGCAACTTTTTCCAGGTAAATGTAGAAATTCTGCCTAATCACAAAATATACCTTTGTCGGCAAATATTGCACAATGGTGTAGATTAATAAATGGCCTTATTTCTTTATTATATCGAATTTAAATATTTTTATCCTGTTACGGTTTGTTGAATATTTTTATTTTATTGCTCTTGTGGATTTTTTTTGGAGCAGGCAAATTTAAATTTATAACGTTTAATGTTATGTTTTGCATAATTTTTAGTACCAACAGATTTTTTACATTTGATATATTTTTTAAATTTATGATATCTCAGTTTACGTGTTCGAGGGTTTTTCGAGAAAATATTTTTATTTATTAATAAAAAATGTTCCAAAAATAACTTTTAGAGATTTTTTTTAACTAAATAAAAAATATGCTGTTAAAGACCGTATTTTTGTTAGTATACCCCGAAAATTTTGTACAAATCAAACGAACAGTAACGAAGATACAGCGCTTCAAAGTCGGTAAAAATGACCCCTTTTTGATTATATTGCTGAAAAATGGTCATTTTTGACGACCTTGAAGCCCTGTATTTTCGTTACTGTTCGTTTGATTTTTACAACATTTTCAGGGTATACTTACAAAAGTACGGTCTATAAAAGTTTTTTTTCGAGCGTTTTTTATTATTAAATAAAAGGGCTTTAAGGATATTTTTTCGAAAAACCATTGAATATGAAAACTGAGATATAAGTATTTTTTTTCAAAATTTCATAAAGATTGGTAAAGGCGTTTTGGAGTAAAAAAATTAATTTTTTTACTTATTATGCGTTAATTTTGAGGGGCAGTGTATGTTGCTATGTTATAGGTATAGCATATAGTTTATAGCTTTAAGTACCTGTAGGTACAAAAGTATGAGTATACTCATACTTTTGTTGTGTTCAAAAACAATGTTTTATTTTTTGATCTGTAAATAAATTTTTTTGAGCAATATACTGCATTATTTTACACCTACCTTTAGCAATGACAACCATCCCTTCAAGTATCCGGTATCAACCAATTTAGTACATGTTATAACATAGTTTAGTATACTAAACGATATAGAGCTGAAGTTACCGTATTGCTATAGCACTATAGTGTAACTAAAACACATTAAATCCAGTACGAACAAATTTAGTACACGTTACTAATCCATATAGTAACCAGTACGATGTAGAAACCTCGTCTATAATATGTAATGTATGGTCATTGTTACTAAAACATATTGTATCAGCTCCAGGGGCGTAGCTACCGCGGTATGAGCCGTATCAATGATACGGGGCCCCCGGCTAGGGGGGGGGGCCCCGATTGACTTCGACATGCGTAAGCAAAAAACATATTACCCACATGTTAAAAAAAATTGAGGCATGAAATTAAATAAATAAATAATAATACACTGAGAAAAAAATGGGACAAATAAACTGTGTAGCTAATACTTTTATTAATAGTGAATATATTGTTTATTACCTCTAAATAGTCGAAATAATAACGATAAATATACTTTAGTAAAACTTTATGTGTCGGGAATAAAAATATATTTAGGATAAATAAACTGTACCTTTGTCCCATATTTAAATATTTTTTTTATTTGGGAGCAATAAACTTTTTTCTCAGTGTATTATTTAATTGTTTATACTTCGATTTATTAAATTAAAATTTTCCTGAATACCCTCCTGTTCAAACGAGGCCGTGAACTCATACGAATTGTTTCTGTCTGCACCTTTCCGTTATGCGTTGTCTGCGGCGCAGTCTGCGCATATTGTTCTGTGCTCTACGCCGCGGCTCTGAGAGGCAAATTTACGCGGCAAAAATCCAATTTTTAAAACACTTTAAAAACGCATTTTGATGCCTCTTTATTGTTCGTGACAGATTATTACCTAAGATTTTAAACTGCGAAGTAGAATTTACTGCGTTATAACAAATACATGAAAAGATTGTGAAAAATACTCTTACTTTCGGAATCTTGTCTTTTTCGTGTAAAAAAGGTGTTGCGTAAATATAATAGTGAAAATTAGTGTAAAAAATTTATAGTAGGGATAAAGTTGAGTACAAATACAACTTTAAAATGTTTTTTTTGGATTTTTTGCCAAAAATATAGCCTTTTTTAACCTACAAATTCTCAAGTTTTGTAATTACAAATAATAAATGGAATATAAGTAAAAATCTATAATTACTTGCCCAGAACCACATGGTGCATTCGAAAATATGAATCTCCAGTTCCGACTTTATAAAAATTCATCTGCCTTTATGCGCCTATAAGATAGTTATGCAAAAATGAAAAATGGCCGACAAGTTACCGCTAACCTGGTCATAAAAGTAATATATTTTTTAAATTTGACAATAATTATTGCATTTAAGAATGGTTATACAATTTTCTTTACTCCTATTACATAATATTATTTTTTTAATATACTTTGTATATTATACAGTGTGCCAACGGATGGTAATGACAATAGAAAAAAACTTTTTTATTAGGTATGATACGAAAAAAACATGTTTTTTAAAAACTCTTACTTGTTTCAAAAATAAGATTCCTACACAAACATTTTGAATTAAATGTACAGGGTGCTCAAAAACTAAAAAAACTAAAAAAACTACAAGTGCGTTTTAGGGAAAAATTAATTCTTTTTGAAAATATTTGATGGTAAAAATTAAGACTTTCATAAAAAGATAAATATATATATAGGATGCTCAGAAATTAAAAAAAAATTATATATCAAAATAAGAAAGAAATGTGGTAAGATATTCGTAAAGGAATCGCAAAAAATCATTCTTCATAAAAACTTCTGCTTGTATTTAAAAATGAGATTCCTAACAAACAGTTTTAATTAAATGTCCAGGGTGCTCAGAAAAAACAGCAAAGTGCTTTAAGAGGGTAGTACAATAATTATTGTTCTATAGGAATCTCATTTTTAAAACAAGCAAGAGTATTTAACACATAATAAAAATAATAAGTTTTCCTATTGTGAACCATCACGATATTGGCTAAAGGGTTGTTAAAAAGAAATATGGTGAAATGTAAAATGTTAATATAATAATATATTTTTGATACTTTGAAGGTAATGGTTTTTCGGTTATTCATGATAAAAAATTATGCTTGCGCCATGTTGTAATCGCCGCCTGGTACGAACTATAAACATTTATTTATTTAATAAATAAATCATTAAATATAACATAAAACATATAACATAAAAAAAATACACAAATATTAAAAAAATTCATTTTATATCATTTGGTTAGACTTAGCCCCCTCAATACCAAATATTTTTGAAAAAAAATTATATAAGAAGTAAAGCACCCTTAAAAATATAAAAAACTCACGTCTTGGGAAAACTATTTAAAGAATAATTTTTGCCGCGTAAATTTACCTCTCAGACCACTGTGCGCCGCTGTGAGTCTGCTTTGCGTGTTGGTTGCAAAAAAATGATACCCTAAAAAAATTTTTTTGTTTGCCCAAAATAGACTTTTGCCAGCACTTGTACTCTCTTAAAATGAATTAGTCCAAAATGCCATAGGGTTTTAAAATTTCCGGAAAAATTGAGTCGGCGAAAAAAAAAACGTTTTTTTCATAAAAAAAAACGAAAAAATTGGGAAATTTTCATAAAAATTGACTTTTTAATTTTTTAAATTTTATTCAATTTTTGAAAATTGCCAAATTTTTACGAATAGTATCCGTACACTGATATCGAGAAAAAAACAAATTTTCGACGCTGATTATAATCATATAATATTATGTTTATAATTATTATTCCTTTTATTTTAATTCAGTATCTTATAAGAATATTCTTCCGAGCCGCAAAAAAAAACATATTCGATGCTATATTAACATAACTTTTATTTATAAAATTATAATTTTGTAATTTAACTTTATAATTCATTCATTATTTTGTACTTATTATATTTTT